TTAAAAAAATACCTTTATTTTATTTATTTTTATGCGGTGCTGAGGATGGAACCCAGTGCCTCACATATGGGAGACAAGTGCTCTACTGCTGAGCTATAACCCCAGCCCCCATCCATTGACCTTTTATTTTAGTTGTTGTATTTTTTTTTAGTTCTCAAATGGGCATGTTAAAGGATCAAAAAGAATATCCAGTGATAAGCAGTAGGATTGGAGAAATAATCTCAAAACTGACCATACAGGGCTTTCCAGATAATAGTAAAGGGTCTAGAGCTTATGCAATGTGCGGAAGAAAATCACTGGGGATTTTACGGAAGGGAATAGAATATCTCATATAATTTTAAAAGCTACCATAACAATGTTGGAGAACATATGATATGGATGAGAATGGAATGGCTAGACCTGTGAGGAAGAATTGTATTGGTGTAAGGAACACTGAGGTGGCTTGAACTTAGCAACAGCAGGCCAGCTGAGCACCTCCAGTGGGCCATGCCCTGTGCCAGAGCAGCCTGAGCCTCAGGGGACTCTAGATTCTCATATATTAAACAAAACAAAACAAAAAACAAACACCTGCTTCTGAATCCTGTCACCATGGCAGCTGTGCTTCTTCTGCCTGAATTGGCAGTAGGGGTGACATCATTAGCATTAAATGACTGATTCCCACAATGAAAACTGGTTACCATGGTGCTACTAAGCATGAAAACAAGAATCTGCCATTCTTCTCCAGGCTCAGGGTCCTTGACTAGCTCTATACCTAAGGGAAAATTGGGAATTGGGGCTGTTGGTGTGGGGGTGGGGCAGGGGATTCAGGACGTGGGAGCCAAGGGGAGGCCAGCTGTCAGGAAATTGCTGAGTCACTGTGCCTCAAGATCTGCCCTAACCAAGACCACAGTTACAGCCTGCTCTGTACTGTGGAGGGGGAAGCCCGGCATGTAAACACACAAATTCCAAACATCATTTTCCTTTCATGTTAGAGCTTCTCTGAGCTCTTTCCTCTAAGTAAAACTAACAGATCAAGGCCTCCCTATCTTTGCACCATCCCTCAGGGGACCATTCTAGGAAAAACTGCTATTGGATTTTTCGTGGAAACTCTTTGAACCTATCTGGAAGCAAAAGAGTGGGCCTCAGCCAGAGCCTCTGAAGTAAAATGTGTAAGACCAGTACAGATACAGAGGGGACATTTGAGGAGGGGAAAAGGAATAGCACATGTCCTTGGTACAAATGGAATCTAGGCGCCTGGGATTGTAGCTCAGTGGTAAAGCGCTATGCTAGCTTTTCCCCAGATTGTAATTCCCAAATTTCTAGGAAATCTGCAAATCTTCACTCAAAAATCGTGAAATTCTGTAAATTTGCTCATTTATGAAAATAACCTTGTGCAATGTACTAACACATGTATTTTTTAGTAAGTTAAACAAAGGGAAATGCACAATTTTAAGACACCTATAATATAGGTTCCATTCCAAATGTTATCTATTGATAAGATAATTAGACAACATCAACCTAAGGATCCTGAGAATAGGCAGAGCACCATAAACTATCTTATGATTGCCAGACTGATGTCACCCCACACATCTTCCCATGGGGGTCTTTTATCCTGTGGGAAGAAATTTCCTCCCTGCGGACCCCAAGTTCAATAGAACCTCCTTGTCTTCTGAGGGTATTGCCCTCAGCACTGGAATCCCCATGCAATAAATGGCAAGAGTGAAGTGTAGTGTCAGTGCTTGTGCACATATTTTGATAGATATTCTTCTGGCAGACTGAAAGCTTAGAAGGGAGAGAGGAACATACCTACTGTGCCTATCCCACCTGAAGGCCAACAGGAGCTTTATAATTCTCAAAGCAGGTTCATACTCACTTGCTCCTAGGCCTCAAATTTTTTCATAAACTAATTAGAAATAATGTGTCCATCTCTAGCAATCAGGAAATACAGATCAAAACACTAACATTTCATCTCACTCTGGTCAGAATGGCAATTATCAAGAACACAAATAATAATAAATTTTGGCAAGGCTGTGGAGTAAAATGAACAGCCATCCATTGTTAGTGGGACTGCAAATTAGTAAGCCACTCTGGAAGGCAGTATGGAGATGCCTCAAAAAAACTAGAAATGGAACCCCCACATGGCCCAGCTACCCCACTCCTTGGTATTTATCAAAAAAAAAAAAAACTAAAATCAGCATACCTTAGTGATATCCCCACTTTGATGTTTATAGTAGCACAATTCACAATAGCCAAATTATGGAATCAGCCCAGCTGTCCATCAATAGATGAATGGATCAAAAAAATATGGTATATATACATAATGGAGTTTTACTCAGCCATAAAGAAGAATGAAATAATGGCATTTTCTGGTAAATGGATGGAAATGGAGACCATAATGGTAAGTGAAAGAAACCAGACTCAGAAAATCAAGGGTTGATCGAGTTGTAGTTGAGCCTATAATCCCAGTGACTCAGGAAGCTGAGGCAGGAGGATTGCAAATGCAAAGCCAGCCTCAGCAACTTAGCAAGGACCTGTGCAATCAATTTAGGGAGACTCTGTCTCAATAAATAAAATAGGCTGGGGATATGGCTTAGTGGTTAAGTGCCACTGGGTTCAATGCCTGGTACCAAAAAGAAAAGAAAAATAAAAAAGAAAATCAAGGATTGACTATTTTCTCTCATATGTGGAAGCTAGAGCAAAAGAAGGGAAAGAAAACAGGGTGTTGAGGAATTGAATATAATAAGTATATAAGGAAGGTAGGTGGAGTAGAAGAAATAGATCAAGAGTGAGGAAGAAAGGACTGGAAAGGGGAGGAAATATGGAATTAATTTAACAAATCACATTTTGTGCATATAAAAATGTGCTAAAGGGAATTTCCCCTTTATGTATATAGAAAGTACCTATCGAAAATCAATGAATAGGGCTGGGGCTAGGGCTCAGGGGTAGAACGCTTGCCTAGCATGTGTGAGGCACTGGGTTAGATCCTCAGCACCACATAAAAAATAAATAAATAGAATAAAAAGTTATTTTTAAAAATCAATAAATAAACAAGTGAAAGGAGTATCTGTAAAGGAAAGAGAATATGAAGAGGGAACTGTAAAATGAATCGGACATAACTTTCCTACGTTCATATATGCATACATGGCCATGCAACGCTACCTCACATATGATATGTTAAAATAATTCTACTGTCATGTATAACTAAAAAAAAGAAATTTAAAAAATTTTAAAATATATAGGGATGGAGGAGGTGAAGGAAAGTGGGGAGAATGGGGATAGAAATCAAATTCCTTGTAGGTGTGATTTTGCCAAAGTGAACCCAGCTACTATGTATAACTATAATGCTCTAATAAAAAATAAAGATAATGTGTCTAGCACACAATCATTGATAACCAGATAAATTTCCAATTTGTGGCAGGGCAAAACAGCTGTGTCAGATCCTCCTATTAACTCCAGACCAAATATAAAAATAAAAATAACTGTATGTAAGCATGGAGACCAACCAAAAGCAAGAAAAATGAGAGGGTCTATAATCCTTGAAAAAGGGAAGCCTCACCAGGTGAAGCCCATATTTGACAGGATTTCCCTCTAAAGATACTTCACAGTTCATACTGTAGTACACAGAGAAAGTGTACTACAGAAGTGACATTTTACTGGCTGAGAAGTAGAGTTGGGTGTACAAAAATGTCACAGAACCTGGAAATTGAGGTCGAAATTTGGGAAAATGACTGATCTACAGAGAGGGATTCCAAAATTTACTTACAAATTCTCCTCAAATCCTTATCAATCTTCTAAATGGCACATGTACAGGGTGAGATTTCAAAGAATCTAATACGAAAGCCAGATAGCTGAACAGGGATTTTTGTCAGCTGCCACAGTATTAGGGAGATCAAGTCTGGAGTTCAGAACCCATAAAATTAGAGGGCATTGGTAAACACCTTGGGGTTTCCTGTAGAATTCTGAAAGGACCACACCTAAGGTGAAATTACCATATCCCAAGACTGAAGGATATGGCTGAGGATTAAAAGCAGAACTGAAATACTCCTGTTCTGACCGGCTGTAGGATCAAGGCTTTCTACAAAAAAATTATTTTTCTGCCAGAACAAACAACCCTTTTTTAAGATAGATAATGTAATTCAGAGCGATAACAATGTCAACCTAAAACGTCCAGAGTACAACAAAAAATTTATATTGAAATGCCAGTCCAGGGTTTAGAAAGCTCACACCTATCATACAAATACACATTGGAAGCAAGTGGTCAGTTAGCCAGTTAGTTATTGCAAGACCTCTATAAAATAGTACAGTGGTTTGGCAAAAGAGATGGCAAAAGATGTGGAAAAAAGTGGATGGATGTGCAATATATTTTGCAGGTCGGATCCATATGATTGCTAAAGGTTTTCAGATGGTTGAGGATAAAATAATGGTCAAGGATAACAAAAATATACTGAATTCGTTGAGGGTCTACTGTTCCGTCTCAGTTCATATTTATGACTCACAACAAACGCATGAGGTAGGCACAATTTCCCACCTACATCTTACATGCGATTGTTTTCTCTAACTTTGGACTGGTGCACTGGGAATAAAGGCGGTGGTCCTTGAGACCCAGTTTCTGTTAAAAAAAAAAAAAGAGTGGGGTGGGGTAGGGGAGCTGGGTTGTAGCTTCGTGGTAGAGCGCTTGCCTAGCTAGTGTGAGGCAGGGCGTTCGATCCTCAGCACCGCATAAAAAATAAGCAAATAGAATAAAGGTATTTTGTCCATCTACAACTTTTTAAAATAATTTTTAAAAAATTATAAAAAGGAACGGAACTGGAAATTCCAGAAGGTGCGCGGTGGAGGGAGGTGGTAAGGGGAAGGAGAAATTGGGTAGGCGTCTTCCAGGGCAGGGCCCGCTAGCGATTGGCCGAGTTGCCCAGGAGGGCTACGCACATCCCGCGTCTCTAACCGGTGGAAAGCGACAGACAGCCCCGCACAGTCCCTCTGCCGGCTGTCTCCACTTTGACTAGGACTTAGAGCGGGGGAGTGAGCGCGTAGATCCCGAGAGGATGCAGCGCCGGCTGTTGCCTGGGGGACCCGGGGGGCTCCACCTGCTCGTCTGCTTCTTGCTGTTGAACAGCTGTCCAGGGGGCTGCAGCGACATTAGTGGCCACGGTCAGGAGGAGACCTGGGGGGTGCGGGCAGGGCCAGAGCAATTCTGAGAAGAGGGTCAGGAGGCCTCAAGGCTAGGAAAATAATGTGTTCGGGCTCATGAAGAGGAATGTATACAGAGAGCATCGCAGAAAGAGGTGGACTTGGATGTCTGTGGTGTCTGGTCCCAAGGGGAGCGGGCTCAAGGGAAGACTGGGAATTCGGGAGGAGGTCGGGAAGACAAATGGGTGAAAAGGCGGCTGCAGAAGAAGCCAGACTCGCTGAGGGGCCGGGGAAGAGATGGCCTGGGTTAGGTACTGGCAAGGGACCAGGAGGGCTGGTCTTCGGGTATGGGGTCCTGGCTCCAGAGAGAAGGCTACGTCGAGAGACGGACCAAGGCTCAGCGCAGGCCCACAGTCTAGTGACTGTGATCCGATTTCCAAAGAGGGAAGGGTGACGACGGGTAAATCAGGAGGGAGGGGAAGGTGAACATCCTTCTTCCTCCCACTCTGCTCTGCGCCATCGCGGGAGACGCAGCGCTGACTCACGCGGTTGGAGAGGGACTGCGCAGACTCGAGAATGCCCAGACCACGTGGGGGAGAGAGCAGCAAACTCCTAGTTTGGCGCCCACTCTTCCTGCCCGATCCTTGGGTTTAGAGATCTACGCACAAGACTCCCAAAGAGCGGTGGGAGGAGGCCTGGTGGCGGATGTGAGGAAGGGTGCTGGGGGAAGGACCGCCAAGCTCAGCTCCGCCTCCACACCAGGCTTCACCGCCTCTCCAGCACCACGGGCAGCGCCAGGCGCTCGCACGGTCTCAGCGGGGCGTTTCCTGTCACCGCTGTAGGATCTCGGCCTCCGAGAATCGTCTCCCTTTCCTGAAGCTCTTTTGCTTCACAATGGAGTTCTGGAGGTTTCACTCCTTCCTGAGGCCAGGAAAATTGTTATTAGGGCTCCATATGAAGAGGAAGAATTCCCTTTTCTAAGACATGCCTAGAAAGATTCATGATAATTCCATGATAGATTTGTTTTAAAAAGAAAGAAAAAAAGTCGGATGCAGTAGGGCAGGCCTGAAATTACCAGGGACTCAGGAGACTGAGGCAGAGGATCGGAAACTCAAGGCCAGCTTCTGCAACTGAACGAGACCCTATCTTAAAATAGGTAGGTAGGTAGATAGATAGATAGATAGATAGATAGATAGACAGACAGACTGTGGGTATAGCTCAACGGTAAAGCACCCCTGGGTTCAATCCCCAGTACACCCGCCCTCAGTGGACTTCCTATCCCATCTATCTGTGATAAGAAAGATGTGTTTGGCATTAGGGGCTGTATTTCTTCAAACCTACCTTTCCCTTATGCACAGTTCTAGCTTTCAATAGAAGTATCCATACTCTCAATTCCTATACATACCAATATAGATGGCCCTCCGGGTCTGCGTGTCCTGCATGAGGGAGTGCTGCATCCTCTAATTCAACCAATTGTGAGTCAAAAATATTTGGAAAAAATGTGTCTGTACTGAACATGTACAGGTTTTTTTCTTGTTATTCCCTAAACAATACAGTAAACAATGATTTACATTTTGCTTAATATTATAAGTAATTGAGATGGTTTAAAATATACAGGAGAGTGTTCATAGATAATATGCAAATACTAAGCCATTTTCTATAAGGGACTTGAACATCTGTGGATTTTGTTGCGGGGGTGGTGGTCCTGGATCCAATTCCCTGAAGATACTGAGGTGATGATACTTTCTCTAAAAATTCCAAGCCTTCCCCCTAACCCTTCTAAAGCTTCCCTAAGAGGGAGCTCACCTTCTTCCAGTACTACACCATCCATCGATTGTCCATCCTAGGAGGTAGCTTTCTGAGCCTCTCCTCACCTGAACATCCACAGGCTGCTCTTTGCCTATAAGCTTGGTTCCTACGTGGAAGTTACACCAAGGGTGAATGAGGCCCAGGGACTGAAGAACAGGGCAGGTGGTGATGGGGGAAAGGAGAACTGGAAAAAAGAGGACCTGAAGAGGGGAAAGGGCCTGGTTCAGGAATGCCAGTGAAGAGAAACTAGCTACGTCTCTTCCACTGGGATTTGAGCCAAGCTGCTTGCTGATTCCACTATTTTGCCCTTAGATTGTAAGGGCCAAGTAGGAGCAGGACAGCCCTGGCCCGTCCAAGGATTTACTGCTTCAGTCTTCCGGCAGTTACAAGTCATACTCCACCAAATTGTACCTCAAGGTAAGTATAAGCCAAAGAGCCGAGGTTGGGGCCTGGTCAGATATGGGGTAAGCACTGAGAAGCTATCTGACCTGGGGACAGTTTCTCTTTGTCAAATGTCTCTACTTGAAACTGGAGTGGGGATGGATCTAGATGGATGAGCTACTTGCACTTGAACACTCTGGAATAGCCTAGCAGATGCTTCTAGAAGAAACTCCTGAGAGAGGCCTTAATCAAATTCCTGGGGACTCAACTCCCTGGCACTATCTGAGTTTTTCCTGAGCCAGAACTCAGCCAGAAGCACATGCACATACCTCAGCCTCTGTGTAGGAAGCAGGGAAAAGTATCTGACAAATAGAAGAGAGGGATAAAAGGGAGTTCCCTGGAGATAGATACTGATCCTTCCTTAGAGCAGAATTTTGTGAATGGGGGAGGGGAAAGTCAGATAGAAAATCTGCCTTAAGTTCATATCACTACTGCTAATGCCTACTGTCCTTATCATGTCTCAGAGTAGTGGTTCTCAAAGTGCATCCCAGACCAGCAACACCAGCATCAACAGGGAACTCATCAGAAATATTAATTCTTGATTTCCATCCCAGACCTACTGAATCAGAAACTCTGAATTTTGAGAACAGGAATCTGAGTTTTAATAAGCCTTGAAAGATACTTTGATGCATCCTAAAGCTTGAGAATTACTGCCTCTGAGTTTTCTAAATACTCTTTACATTGCTAATTTCATTTAATCCTCACGGTAGCATCAAATGAATCAGCAAAGAAACTAATCAGAATTTTAATTGAATATTACATGCCAGGCATTAAGCTAAGCATCTTTTATACACCGTCTTATTTAATTTTCTCCACACGATGTGATCCCATGTATACTTGAGGGAAACCTCTCCATGATCCCTGTCAGTGTTCCAAGTGGCAACTCACTCCATCCTTTAACCCTGCAGGTCTGTTTTGGAAGGATGACACCACCCAGGATGTGATGACCCAAAAGATGAAGCACATCAGCCTACTCCACCCCCTAGATGCATGCATGAAGGATGGAAAGGCAGTTTTCCCCACTAAAACCACTGCGATGAGGTATGTGAGGCCTGTGGTTGGCCCTTGCTATCTGGCAGACACAGAGCAGGGAAGGAACAGGTCCTAAAATGGTGAGTAGGAGCTACCAGGAGTACTATGGGGTGAATGCTTCAGAAGTCTCTTTGGGGACCATCAGGGAATAATCCCATGATACTTAGCTATGCCTGAAAAAGGGGGTTGGTGGGTTAGCAAGCCTCGGCCCACTGTCATTCTTGTGTCTTCTAGGGGCAAGCAAGAGGAAAAGCTTCAACTCTTATTTCCCAAGGTGAGATTCATGCATCTTCCCAGGAATTATGAATCCTTGACTTTGAACCCATTACTTTCCCCCTGGGATCCTCTAATCCTTTTCTGCCTCCTTTCTGACTCCTGCCTTCTTGCCTATAGAGCCCAGTGTCCAAGTTGAACAGAGATCAGTGTGTAACTTCCAAAGTGGTTCCAAAGGCCCTAAAACAAGAGGTGACCAATCCCATCAAGGTGTGGGACTCATTTTTTCTAAGGAAGTTGGAATCATCAAGGACTTGTTTAAATGAGAGTGGCAGGTGTGAAAGAGACCTGGGGTATTGGGGTGATAACAACTAAGTGAAGAAAAAAATTTTTTTCCTTTCCCTGACAAAGAATAATCCTGCTTTCCTGTATCTCTCACAGACTACCTATAAGATATCCATATGAGAGGTGAGGAATGGGACATGGTGCAGGTGCTGAGAACTTCTAAGGAGATGAACTACAAGACCATTCATCACCATTGAGTTTGTTGTTGTTGTTGTTGTTGGTGGTGGTGGTGGTGGTGGTGGTACTAGGGATTGAGCCCAGAGGTGTTTTACCACTGAGCTACATCCCCAGTCCTTTTTTACTTTAAGTTTCAAGACAGTGTCTTGCTAAGTTGTTGACAGTCTCACTAAGTTGTTGAAGTCTTGAACTTAACAATCCTCCTGCCTCAGCCGGAATTATAGGTGTAAGCCACCATAACTCACTTGGCCATTGAATTTACAATAGGCATTGAAATCTTCAGAGTTCTCAAAATTAGATAAGAGGGTCCTCCTTTTATCATATACTCCTTTGTATTCATCAAGTGATAGCAAAGCTCCTTTGGATAAGTGGGAAACACAGCCCTGAGGCCTCATATTCAGTCCCTGCCTTGCTCTACTCTGTGGCCTGGGCAAGTCACCTGAGTAAGGCTCGGAGATATCTCCTTGTCAAAGATCCTTAGGATCTTTGAACTCTTCAGAATCTATACTGGAAACCACTCATCTAGTATTCCCACCTATATTTATAGATGAGAAATTGGGGCCCAGGATGGTTACAAGACTTAGTCAAGATTGCATAATGTTCATGGCAGGGCCAGGACTGGACCCAGGTCTCATGATTTCCAGTTCTTTCCCCTACATAGGTCCTGCTCTTCCTCTCAAGGACTGTAGCAGGGGTGAGGCTGTTCCAAACATCAGACGCCTCCATATTGCTTTCTTTGGACTAAGACTTAAACTATCAGAAGGTGAAATCCAGAAGATATAAAGGAGAGACATCCCAGGCAGAAATCATTGCAACCACAGATGCCCTAAGACTAGAATACTAAGGTATATCAGAGGAACAGAGAAAAGTCACTATCATAAGATGAAGTTGGAGAAGAAGGCCCAGGACTGATCACTTGAGGTCTCATGAATCACAGTGAAAGGTTTGGATATTATTCTAAGTACAGTAGGAAGTTAACTGGGGTATTTTAAGGAGAGGAATATTGTAACCTTACATATGATTTTAAAAGGCCACTCTAGTGATGTTGGAGAATCAGTGTTGAGAAGAGTAAGAATGAAAATGGAGAGGCCAGCTGACCTGGTCCAGGGAGATGGAGGTTGCTTGGACTTGGGTGGTCGCAGTGGATCCAGGCACCATCCCTCCACTGGCCACACCCTTCATCTAGAGGCCACCTGCATTTCAGCCCTTCATGTTCTCCCAGGAAACCAGCTTCTACTCCCATAAAGTGGCAGCTGGGCTTCTTAAACCTGGATTGGTTGCCAGGGCAACATAATCAGAGATAAGTGACAAGGATCTACCTGTGGGGAATTGGTTGCCGTGGTACTTTCAAGAATGCAAACAAAGTGCTGCCATTCTTCTCCAGCCCCCAACCTGAGGGAGAATCACAGCAGGAAGAGGAACTATATGTGGGAGCCAAGGATCAAGCTGTCACTTGCTGGGCTGAGTCATTGCAAAAAAGAATTACTTAAATCCTACTTTATTGAAGCATTTGGAAAAGGAGGACATGTGAGAGGGACTAACACTCCAGGTTAATCCCTGTTTCTTCTCTTTCAGGAATACTCTGGGCCACTTCCTACTGCAGGCCACAGCCTTGTTGCTGATTGAGACCTCATATGAAGCTTTCCTTCCTCAGTGCCCTCACCATTGCCCTTCAGAGGGGCAGTTCTTTGATGACCCAAATATCATTAAATTATGTGATTCTTTCTGTGAGCTTGTCTTGAAGGAGAATTGGGGGGGAGGTGGAACTGGCCAAAGACTCTCAAGAGAGAGAAGTGGGGGTAAGTCCTTGAGGCTGGTAGAAGGCTGGCTTCTGTCTGGTTTTCCTTCCATTGGTTATTCCTGAAATAGGGAAGGTGGGACACAGCTGGAATGACAGCCTTCCCCACTTACATCCTAGCCAAGATGTGTGGTCCGGTTGTCCAAGTTATGGGGAAATGGGCTCCATATTTGCCACCAGTCATCCTTCCATCCCTCATGCCACACAGGCCTAGACCTGCAGTCTTATGAAGATCTTCACCTCCAGCCCTGACAGAGCTTTCCCATCCATTCTGCCCCCAAGGGTTAACCGAGCAGTGCTGAGATCAAAGTATGTACACATTTAACATTTAAGGGTAATTGCTGGTTTGCTTCTGATAGTTTAACATCTTAAAAAGGAGTGGGAGGACTGGGGATGTGGTCCAGTGGTAGAGCATTTGTCTAGCATGTTCTAGGCCCTAGGTTCAATCCTCAGAATCAATCAATCAATTTTTTCAATAAAAGGGAGTGTAAGCCAGGCATAGAAGTTCATGCCTATAATTCCGGCTACTTGGGAGGCTGAGGCAGAAGGATTATAAATTTTAGGTCAACCTAGGCAACATAGAAAGACCATGTCTCAAAAGAGAAAAGGCTGGAGGTATAGCTCAGCAGTAAAGTGCCTCTGGGTTGAATCCCTAGTACCAAAGCAAAATAGAACAGAAAAGAGAGTGGGAAATCTGATGACCCATGCTCAGCCCAACCGAACACGAGAAGGTTCTATTTGCAGAGCTTTATTTTCCTCAAAGCACTTTTATATTCATTGGATACTCATAGATGTAAGCAAACAGGCAGGTATCAAGATTGGACTGCTCTAAGGAATTGGGACATGGCCACACCACATCTCACCCAGTTAAACAATCCAGAGAAATTTACTGACTAGTTCTTGGTAACACAGAGTCTCAGTCATACCGCTGTGCCTACCCTCACTTCAAGGACATAGCTAAACCCAAAACTACTAGACCAGTCATATCCCTTTGTTCCCAGTTCTCATCAAATCAACTAACGATAGCCACTCATCCGTATTTCCCCCTTACAACTTTCTTTCTCATTCATTCTTGCATTTTGGTAAGCCTATGCTCCACTGTGCCTGATTCTATGAGTGTATTCGGTTCCTGTCCTCATAAAAAGATTGTTAAGAATAGTCAGGAAGGGCCATTTGATCCTATCAGCCTGGTTCCATACTCTCACCTGGCTATACGCTCCACCACCAGCATGTGCCAGGTTCCCAGAGCCACATAGATTGCCACAGCAAAGACGCAGGACATCACCAACCAGGTGAAGTCCCAGCTGGAAGAAAAAGAAAACCAGAAGTTCCCTGTTTTTAAGGCTGTGTCCTTCAAGAGCCAGGTGGTGGCAGGCACAAACTTTTTCATCAAGGTGAACACTGGTGGTAAAAACTTAATGCACTTGTGGGTGTTCAGGAGTCTCCCCCATGAGAAAAGCCCTTGACCCTGCTCACCTACAAGACCAACAAGGCCAAGCACAACGAGCTGAACTACTCCTTTCTTTCTTTTTTCTTATTGCTCAAAGAAGCTTCATTGTTTTATTTAGTTTCTGACTCTGGGCTTGTGCTTTCAACACTTTCACAACAATTTTCTGTTCCTCAATAAAGAAAGCACTCTTAATCCTGTCGCGGACACATTTAGCACACATGGAACCATCATAGGCCCTGCTGACATGTTTTTTGTTTGTTTGTTTTAGACAATCCCATAAGGATTTTACGTCTCACAGCATGAACCCCTCAAAGTCTGCCTGGGCACACACCACATGCAGATTTTGGTGCTTTCCCAACTTTCTTTGTATAAAGGTAAACAATTATATTAGCAGGGGTTTGGGTCAGCCTGGTTTTGTTAGAGGCTGTATAGACACCGTCCCCAGAAGAGTGAACTGACCTATTTCCAGTGTTCATTCTGAAGAGGGCCCTTTGTCCACATTACAGATCCTTACAGGTACTCTCTGTTGTCTACAGCATGTGTTTGGGACCATGAAAGGAACGCCATCTCTGTGCTGTGCCATCGCGGGGAACAGGGACAGTACGGGATTAAGCAGCTCCTGTTACCTGGCGGTTCCAAGTTTCATTGTACAGATATTTTTTTTCTTTCCAATTAATGATCTTAATTACTTTCAAGGAGAACCATACATATCTATTTTAAAATATGTATATTTAATGCCTTTATTTTAAAGAAAAAGAAAGAATAGTCAGAAAGGGCTGGGGTTGGGATTCAGCAGTAGTGCACTTGCCTGCATCTGCAAGGCCCTGAGTTCAACCCCAAGTACCACCCCCCCAACACAGAAACCTCAAAGAATAATCAAAGAAGTTAACCATATATACCATAGTGCCATTCAGGTAATCACAGGGTGGAGTTTCCCTGCCTCATATCCCCCGGCTCACATCTCTCCATCCACAGCTGACGATGGACAATGCTACCACCTCCCCATCTCATGCCCTGGAACACCCTGCTTCTCATCCTGCAAGTTTTCTAGAAAGCCAGGTGTGTGCCTCTCTATGCTCCAAACAACCCTGAAGTCCCTGGGATTTAATACCCCCAGAGGCAACTCTCAACCAGTAAAGAACAAAATTTAGTGCAATTGAATCACGTTGGACTGTTATCCAGCCCTCCACAGACAATTCTGAGGGGTATTCAATATGATTCTTCCAAGGGTCCACAGTGATACTCAGCCCCATTGCCCACTGCTGTAACCTGTTCAACCTCACACTTAATTTCATTGACTTTTCTTCTTTCTTTGCCTCAAAGGAAAGTGATTTCTGGGATCATCTCCCACACAAATTACCTGAATCCAACTTCTTATTTATTTTGGCTCAACCCAAACTAAACCTATTACATGCTAGACACTCTTCTAGACACTGGGGATACAGTTGTGGAATAAGGCAAAATGTTCACTGCCATGGAGTTTATTTATAAATCATTTTCTAACCATCTGTTATCAGGGAAAAATTCAAGCAATTTATCCGGCCTGGGGAGCATTCAGGTTCTTGTCTTATCAATTTCCTCAGTGCCATGGTGCTTTACCCCATTCTGTCAACTATTTGTACCAGCAATTCAGTCCTAATTGTGTTTCCCAAATGTGCCCAGAGGGTGTATGCTCCAGGGGCCCAGTATATGCCATTCTCTCTACATTACAAGTGCCCCCTCCCCAACAAACTTTGTCAATCTTATCCTAAAAATCTAAGTTCTCCTCTGTGACCTCTAAATGGCCTTCCCCACATCTCCATCACTGGAGCAAAGTGACAGTTTGCCATCTACAAGGCATGGAGAGGGACTTGGAACAGATTCTCCCTGTCTGCCCTGCTGACCCCTTGATTTCATATTGCCAGCATCCAGAACTGTGAGATCACAAATTTCTGTGGCTTAAGCTCAGTCTATGGCATTTTATTAAGGCAGCCCTAGAAAACTAATACAAGTGACTGGATTTCGTTGGAGAGAATTTAGATATATTCTACCTGGGAGAATAATGGTGCCACTGTACTCATGGTAGGTCTGGAACCTGAGGCTTTGCATTTTAAAGAAATTTTAGATGATACTGATACTATTAGTCCAAAGGACCACACTTTGAGAACCACCATCTTAGAAAAAAATGCACACATAGGTACACAGAAGACATGTATAAAGATGTTCAAAACTGTGTTATACACAATAGTCCCAAACTGGAAGCCTATATATATCTATCAACAGTAAAAGAGAGGACCAGGTGATACAGCACTTGCTTAGCATGTGCAAGACCAGGGGTTCGATGGCTTCATAAAATTGGATAAAAAAACATTTTAAAAAGAATACATAGTATATAATCCCATTTATATACAGATTTAAAATAGGCAAACTACCTCTTCTGGACCGTATTCAGGAGTTTGGGGACTGAATAAAAATCTCTTTTTGGCCTTTATCCAGTTTTTTCCATTCAAGAAGAGATGCCACAGAGAATAAACATGGCAACACCCTGAGGCGCAGCACGACCCAGACAGCACTGCTGAATATATGAATTAGTCTTTGACAAGGGGTTGTTGTTCCATTAATTTAGGCAAGTCATTTGACTTGGAAGAAATATGATGCAAATAGGTCACATGTTCTAGTTGGTATCAGGTGGGATGAGTCAAACTAAATTAAATGAATAACTACTAAACTTGAATTGACAGCAATGAAAAAAAAAATGCTGTTATCTTAAAACCATCAAAGCCCCAGAACCTTGGAGGTTGGCACTGTAAATCTTAGAAAAAACAATCAATTGGATGATGTGTCATAGTTTTCTCTTCCCAATAGGAATTCAGCCTTTTCCCTAGGTCCCAGTGCTAAGGCATTCATAGACATGGAGCTCCTTAATTGGATGGCAATGTGGCCTCAAGTATACCCAGTGGATCTTCCACCAAGTCTTCCCCAAAAGGATCCACAGCCATTTACAAAGTTAATCATACAGGGGCAAAGGATATACACAAATGCTTCAGGCTACTAGAAACCTGTTCTGAATGGAGATTCATCCACAAAAATATAAGATACCACTCTGAACACCATCAAGGTGAGAATCTATGGATGTCAGGTAATAAATGGAGTTGTGGTCACAGTCTGCCTTATGATAGTTTACTTGAATTGTGGACCCATCCTGTAGTCATGTCCTGTCTCCGAATGTATGGTGGGAATAGACATACTTAGTAGTTGGCAGAATCTCGTCTTTGATTATCTTACCTGTGAAATAAGGGTTATTTTAGCAGAAATCCCCACTGAAAGTACCTGGAACTACCTCCCTGATATGGTTGGATATGGCTTTTCCCCCAGAAGTTCTTGTGAAAGAGAGTTAGT